ATTGCTTCTGTTTGTATAATTGAAATTCTCTTGGTAAAGTCAGGGTTTATCAGTTACTACGTCATGGAGACGTACTAAGATCAAGTGCTTCTTTTTGCTGACACAAGAAAGCTCATTTCTACTCTATGTTTTTTAAAGTACTCTGTTTCTTTAGTATTTTTTTAAGACACATACCAGTTTTCTAATATCATTAATAGATACATAGCTTAAAAATGTCCCAAGTCGGTTTGGTTTAAAACTGAAAGTTCAAGGCGTTTCCAGAGGTCAGATGTGATTGAATCATCCCCCCCCACCCCCCCTTTTTTTTTTAAAGTAGCACTGTTCAGTAAGTCATCCTAATAGAACTTCAGCAATCATCATGATTGTTTGTTTATCGACATATCATGTTGGTTGAGATAGTTTATTACAAAGAGAATTTGATATTTGATTGGTAAAGTAGAAATTAGAGAATATCAATTTTGTTTTTCAGTGCTTTGGTTAGTGTTTTCTTCTAGTAGTCTTCTCAAGTGTTTTCTTTTTGTAAAATACAATTTGTTCTTAAGTCATTAGGCCTTCTCTAAAGTGTTTAAGATGATACAGAAAATAATAAGCTATTAAAAAATGAAAGGACTGCTTACATTTATTTCCTACTAAAATTCTAAGTATTTCTCCTTAACTATTCTGTTTTTTTTTTTAAATGCATTTTAAGTTTTTTTTCAGTTTCAGGCAAATTGTGGAAAGCAATTAGATATGATTCCAAGGGATAAAAATATATAAGGTAAGATAGGACTTATCATCATTAAGCTATATCATCAAACTACAAAGAAGCAAAACTGAAATAAGTCACTTCCTTTCCAAAGAAAAGAATCTCAATGTTTTTAAATCAAGGGGAAAAAAAAGCAAAGGTCTAACTGCCATGTAAACTCATTTTAAATGTCATGTCTTGTTAGAACCTAATAATCAGAATGCCTATTTCCCCTTTTTGCTTGAGCTATCAAATTTGTCAAAATTTTATGATAATTCATCCCATCATTCCTTAGACATTTAAATGACAGACAGTCATAGTAAAGGGGAAAAAAGCCTCTGTAATCCTACTCCTCATGTTAAAACTGCCTCCGGAGAGATTTTAAAAATATTCCATATTATAGCATGTGGAGCAGCTAAACTTCTCAATTCCACTTATGACTCCCTGCCTTTTTGGAAAATGACGATAAATTGGCTACCTACCAGTCTTGACCTTTTGACTTCTGAACCATGGCTGACCAAATCTTTGCTGACCTGTTTAAGTCAGTAGCTCTAGTATCTCTTAGATCCTCTCCCAAAGGGTCTGAAGCTTTCTCTCTCCTGAACGGGTAAGCTCCCCCTCTAGTGTTCACTGCTCATCAGATTATTCCTCCAACAAATAAGGGAACTGCCTGGTTTGGGGCTCCCCACAGACAGACATAGCTTGGAGTGACATTTATAAGTGTTTTATGGCACAAAGAGGAAGAGGTAAGCATGAATTCTACATTTTAAAATATGTTCTTTCCTTTTGAAAGCATCCCAACTGTTTGGCTCTGGAACTCTAGGAAATGCTGTTTTGTGTGCCTTGCAGGCAGAATGTAGGCTGAATAGATAGGATGATTTTGGAAGCTATGTGATGACCTGGTAAAAATCCTTTCTCTTGAGAAATTGGAAGCCTTGTTACAAATAAGTGATTTTTTATTGAAAGTTGACAACCCAGGAGCTCTTTATTTGCAGACCAACTACCAATAGAGAGGAGCAGGATTGTGGAGTAGAGAGGGCTGGAGGCTCTAGCTTTTTTTTTTTTTTCAAGAATTTTGAGAAAGACCAGTAAAAGAATTAAAACCTCTCCATATGCTGTTACAAAGAGCTTGGGTAAATAAGGTCCTGTACACTGTAAGGCTTATCCATACTATATCTGGAACAGAATCACTGAAAGAAAGTACAATGGATACTGGTAATAGTTTTAAAGTGTGTTGGTCTCAGAGGTTAAAAGTTCAGCCACTGCATTAAATCTAGTGTTGAAACTTTAGTGAGACATAATTCAGAATTTATCATGAAGTTAAAGAAAGAAGAAAGAAAGAAAGAAAGAAAGAAAGAAAGAAAGAAAGAAAAAAAAGAAAGAAAGATCACACAAAAGGAAAAAAATAAAAGAAAAATCTGAAATAGTCCTGAGAGGTTAAACCTCTGCAATTGGTTACCAAACTAAAATCTAGAAGGTTCATTCATTTTGAATCATGGCACACCATGTTAAATTAAAAACCAAAAACAACCCAGAAAACATACACCAAAATCTTTAAAGAAGGCCCAAAGGATCCTTCTATTTAAGTAATTGCTTCAAGTTTTCATAGGATAGGCTATGTCATAGAATAGGTCATTTAATTCATTTAAAATTCAGGTTGGAAATAGCATGATGACATTAAATTAGCTTTGGTGTTAATCGTCTGAATTTTGGAGAATAATCGAAGCCTTCAAGCAATATTTTTCTTGATACCGTGATTCTAAAAACATGCTTGGTTAAAATTATTCTTGTGTTACAAGTTAGCATACATTTCTTAATGACTAAGACTTTTAAAACTGATGATAAATAAAGATGACCCCCTAAATTCAAGGGAGAAACTTCCTTTTAAAGTGTTCTGTTTTCATATTCATGATCAAATCATCACTACTATCCCATCACTAAACATGTACCAAGTACCTACAAATTATATAAAACATACATCCTGTGAGAACCCAACTTCCATTTTGTTACGGTGGTTTTGGTTTAATAAATAAAATATTTTCTAAAGTAAAGGTAAAGCATTCCTTAAAAATATTTCTTCATTTGTTGTTTTCCTCTTTATTGGGTCATTTCAACTAGATTGCTTAATTTGGCAGCAGAAGAATGCCTTCAAGCACTGCAATGTTAGACCATCTTGAATTTTTCCTATTTTCAATTTTCCTGGTTTTGTGTTTTACTAAATTTCATTTTAGTGCTCTCTTTTAAGGTTGACTGATGGGTCTTCTTAAAAAGATCACCCTTCGTGAACTGATAGGATCAGGTGAGTAGGGCCTATCTTTGATCCACAGGAGCCCCTTTGAAGGTTTAAAGTCCTAGTATGGTCCATGGGTCCATTTAGTTTTGAACTCCTTGGATGAGACTGACAACACAAAGGATGATCATTTCCACTGAGCTGAGGGTTTTCCAGGTGGACACTCTGCTCTGAACTGGACTGAGATCACACACACACTTCTCTCTGCACAGTTGTTTGACAGGAAGATCCATCAATCGCATGTCTCATACTAGATTGCATTATAAGACACACAGAATTAATTGGAGGCCAGCACAAATATAATAACACCCTTAGTTTTCTGTTGTTTTTTTAGATGGTGCTCTAAGCCACTGGTTTTGGCAAACTTTAAACCATCAATAAAATTCTAGAGAAAATAGAATGCCATGTATAACAGGAAAACTGAATTTTGTAAATTTTCACAGTAAACTTAGTTGTACAAAATTCACATCAAAATTTGTAGTATGAAGGAGGTCACAAGTTAGCTTGACTAATTTTTAATTGCTAGAGATTATATGGCATTGCAAAGAATAGATGAAGGGGCTCCTGTTTATCAAAGTGATTACAGAAAAACACACAGAAAGATAGGGAAAACAACAAAAATAAAAGCATGAAATAAAGTTAACTACACAGAACTCTGAGGGTCCTGGTAGTTTGGAGCGACTTATAATATGATTATAAAATATAAGAACCATAAGAGACCTTACGGATGATCTCATCTACTTTACCTATTAGCCAAATCTCAGACCCAGGAAAACTTAGAAGTGTGTTGTTTGCTTAATATTATGTGGTTGCAAAATGGAGATCAAAGCATTGGATCTTTGTCTTTGGGTTTCAGTTGCAGTGCTCTTTTTACCAAGTGAGCTTCGGTGGTGCCCTGAAGGTAGAGAGGGGTGGTTTTACAGAAATAGAAAGAAAGAGATTTTTTTTGGAAAGCTCAGAATAGGTGGGGGTTAGTCAAGGAGTTGGGAAATATTTAGAGAGGATGCAAGTTAAATTTTTTATGGGAGTAAGAGGTACTTGTTATTCTCTTAAAACTCATCATCTTGGAATATACTTTCACTAAAATAAAAACTAGTAAGATACAATTTGTTATTGAGACAGAGAATTAAAGAACAAATGATGGTTGACTGAACCATATATTTCATAACAAAGATATTAATTACTAATTGGGTCTCTATAATAAATTCACAGTCCTGGGCCCTGGAAAAGGTATAAGTTCTTAGGATTACAGTGAAAACTATGGTCAAATGGGCTCATTTATTTTCAGAAGAAATTGTTCATTCATTGATTAATCAGCAGCCATTCCAGTGGTGATGAGGAAAAGCTGTTAGAGGACTTTTGAACATAAAGAAATGAAAGGTGCTAGCTTTAAAAGTAGTCTAAGTAGGAAAAAGTCTTAGATTTAGTTAAAAAAATGGTCATAAGGAGTAGAGATGACACCTTTCAGAATTAGAAATCAGGAAGGAAATAAGGAGGCACCTTTACTTGCAGGGACTGGTAGCTGGAAAATTTGGTTCATGGTTCTCATTGTGATGCTGAGATACTTGAACTAAATAAGAAACTGAGTATCATTGGCATTTAAATTTAAGACAAAACTTTAGAATTACAGATTATTCTTTAGTGTAAGTGCAAAGAACACATACATTACATGTGAATCAAATTGCTTAGAATCAATTTTAATTAGTGGAAATTGCTAGTCCACACAGTATACAAATTATTGTGGGTGTGTTGAAATGTGATTATTTTGATCACCCTATGTAACTTCTATTCATTTATAAGAACTTACCTTATCAATTGTCTCCATTTGGAGGGTTGCGTTGTTACCCCTGTCCTCTCTTGCTCCCTTCCTCCTCACTCTGTTAGGAGCCTAGCTCGTTGCTTTATTTAGATCTATCCTTTCCCACACTGCAACTATAGATTTCCTCATTTTGTTTAGCCAAGAAATATTCAGAAGTGGTGATTATTATATCTTTCTTTTCTGCATCTACATAAATTTGTGTGTCATCCTTACACAGGGGCAGTGCTAATCTTCTCTATCATTCCAAAGTTTAGTTATGTGTGCTGCCCAGGTGAGCTTTCTTTTCTACATCTACACTGTCCTCTTCTCAGTGTCTGGCAGATAGTAGACACTCAATAAAAAATTGTTTCATGAATGAAACCTTTGCTGAAAGATTAGAATAAAGAAAACCTTGGTTTCTCAGTGTTTGTTCTACAAATTACTCATTATTTTGAAGATGTGGCAATGAAGTTTCCATGACACTCAACGTTTTTTTTTTTCCCAAGGTGAAATGATGTATTCAAAATTGGAGCCATATGGGGAGATTATGACTTTCATTCTAAAGTTATACAGTAATTATAAAACTGCTTTGCTTTAGAATGTCAAAATTATATCTCTTTTAACAAGTAAGTATTTCTTTATATACTATACAGTACCAACACAGGCAGTACTTCTTAATCTCATTAAATTTTCAGTGATAGATTAACCATTTTACAACATGTTAGCGAATATTTTAGGAATGTCCTGTCAGCACAGTAATAATTAAATTTCTTTTCTTTATGAAGTTCTATACGAGGGTGAGAGTAGGATGATAAACAAATGTGACAAAAATGCAACAGATGAAAGGAATAGCCGAATATGGGAGTTATAGAATGCTAAAAAAGATCATACCTGAAGTCGCTGTATGTCGTATATCTGTTGTGGTGGCAGGTCACCAAGTCTCTGCCTATGTTTGTGCCAATATTATTCTATACAAACACAACAGTGTGTCCAATTGTTTGTTCTTATTTTTTTTTTTTTTTAGAGATTCAATCCAAGAATATCATGGTTGGAGCTTCAGTGTGTTTTCAAGTGTATATTGAAAACTCCCAATATCACAATGGCTTGAGTATTTTGCTGTTGGTTATTCTCCAGACATATTCAGGGCAATGTAATTTGTAGCAGAAATTATTATTTAATAATGTTTGAGAGATATGGGGGAAATATCCAGAAACAAACCACAAGATTCTTTGATAAACAATGGAAATGATGAAGAAAGAAGAAAAGGGGCAATAATAGGTTCCTGGCAATCATTAGGAAAAACAAAGCAGATGAACTCTTACAAAACTTACACTTCCAGCAAGATATCAGGTAAATTGAACAGGACTTAAAACAATATTATAGACACATCTTTAAAAGTTGACGTAATAGAAGGAGTAAAAAATGAAACTGGTTGCAAATTAGTCATTCTACTTTCAGGAAATTCCATAAACCTGGAAGTGTGGTTGATGGAATTTAAGTAGGAATTTAAAGAAACGGAAACAGCCATGACACGATTAGAGAAGGGTATAGTATTTACGAGATAAAATAGATCTTAGAGGGAGATCTAGATAAAAATTTTATCCTTATAGATGAAACTAAATCGAGGGAAACTGTTGAGTACAGACCACCTTGCAAGAGAGAAGATGTGGATAATGCTGTCATAACATAAATGTTAACATAAGCTTAGCTCCTTTGCTTACTTCCCTCATATCTCTTATCATATCACATGAATGTAAACTTCTTGGTTATAGGAGCTATCTCTCACATACCACTGAAATCCTGCTGTTTAGCATAGAACCTGGTATGATAGTTCTCTAAATCCTCACAAATAGTTCTTATAAATGCTTGATTACTGCATTGCTTGCTGAATAAACAAATGAAAGAATGATGAATGAATATATGGCTAACTCTATGCAGACTATGATAAGTTGGAAAGCCAACAGCAGAGCATCTGACAGAACTTAGTTTACTTTTGGAAAATTTTCTCTCACACTTTTAAGAAATAATGAAAAGAATGACCTATTCAATCTTAATTCCAATAAAAATAAAATCAAAATTATTGAGTGTGAAGCGTATGCCAAACCAGCTTGCTTATGTTAAGTTGATTCACACCACAACCACCTGAGACATATGTTATCCTCCATGAGAAGAAAAAGAAACCAAAGTCTAAGAGAAATTAAGTGAATCACCCAAAGTAATACAGCTTATAAACAGCAGAGCTAGATTTGAAGGCACGTGGCTGACTGCACAGCCAATGCCCAGTGCCTTTCTGTTTTTCCATGCTGCCTTCTATTGAAACATGATTTGAAGAAGTGGTATTTAAACACCTAGAAGGATGTGATATTATTAACTTAGAATTTATAAAAACATGGAAAGGAACATTGAATATAATTTAACCTATACCCTAGACTTTAAGGAGACACATTTCAAAAATGTTGAGAGAAAAGAGAGTTGATTACATGGTCATCCATTTTGAAACAGAAGATGGCTCGCTCCAGTGTTGTAAAAGGCTTTAGAAAATGAAATTACCAGTAAAATCACTGAACTGCTTTCTTCTAAATCCTGGTTTTGTCACTTACTTGTGTATAATTCTGGGGACAGGGCTTCTCTGCACCTCATTTTCCTAATGTATAAAACAGTGGCAACAGCCCTACTGTCCTTACAAAGCAATTGGACAATTGCATGAGATGTAAATGTAAAGAAAATTTAGAATAGATGATTGGCACATGGTAGACATTTAATGAATGTTAGCTATTATACTGAAGTTGGAGACATTCGAGTATCCAAATGGTTCTATGATAAAAGACACAGGATCAAACAAGTGGCAGCAGAGAGAAGGGAGTAAGTCAAGATGGTAGGGGACAAAGGTCAGTGGAACCAATTGGAACTGAAAAGTCAATTCTCTTTAGAGAAAGGGTTGCAACAGCAGTCTAAATTTCTGAAGAATAAAGTGATTCTGGAAAAGTTAAATATTTTCTACTGTGGCCCTGGGTGGCACAAGTGGTATGGTCTGACTGGCCATCGGCTTTTCAGAGAATAAAAATATCAGGGATCAAAAAGAAGTTAAAATCTAGGGAAAAGTGACAAAAATTTATAGGATTAAATATAATAGAAATAAATATAAAAGTCTGCATTGAGGTCAAAAGGTCAAAATAATGTAGAAAAATTGGCATTATCTTGGAGACAAATTTGTTTATTGATTACTGAAAATTATTTTTATGTAGAATACTTACCCCTAATGTGTATTTTTTAAACATATTCATCTGTAATGTGTACTTACTAGAATATATGCATCCAGATAACAGGGAGCTCATGCCTCTGGTCCACAGAAGCCCACGATGTGCTTAGGACAGTGAGCGGCACCAATGGAGGTATTCTGGAATTTTTTTTTTCAGTGAAGGCACTGATTTCACCTTACCTTTGTGGAGGAAGTTACTAAACCTGTCTAGGCTCCTGAGTCTTTATCTGCAAAACTGTTAAAATAAATGAGATAATATACATGAAGTGCTTGACATGATGCCTGGCACATTGCAGCTTCTCAAAAATGCTAATTTTATTCTTCCTGCCTAGTGCTGCTGTGCAGTGGATAAATCCTGTGCTTTGTAGAGGCGTTCTGTGGTATGGAATGCCACAGGACTAGTCTTTTTTAAATACTAGGCCTCAGAAACTACACAATCTTTTTTTTTTTTAATCTTTGTTAGATACTCCTAAATTATTTTACAATGAAAGTTGCTATTTACACTATATCTTTAGTAAAATATTGATTAAAAATCAAAGAAATTCATCTATATTAAAGTCAGTAAGCATTTATTGATTTTTATTACATTACATACAGGTAATACCATTTTTGTCTTCAAAAACTCTATATGGCCCAGCTGGGTGGACTTAGATTAAAGAGCTATATTGCAAGGAGTATATTTTTAAAAATATACAGAGGAACTAGAGTCATCATTATTTTCAGTATATAATTTTTTTAACAGGTAGTATTGAACTCTTGGAGACATTAATTTTAATACTAATAATTGTGTACTCAGAGTTTCCTCTGGTTAGGCACTCTAGAGCAGTAAAACAAATCACAAAGGATTAGTTAGCTATATTTTTAAACTTCAACTCCAAATGAAAACAATTATATTGGAGACATGCATTTAAGAGATGGGTGAATCATAAGGTCAAATTATCTTTAAAACAGAATCAAATGACCATTGAAATCTCTTACAAAAGACATTTGGCTTTGGAAAATTGTTTTCTTTTACTTGAGACTCAGCACTTATACATTTGCTGTTTTAAAATTACTTCTAAAGATTATCTTTGTATTATAATGGAATTGTTGTGCAAATACGGCTAATACATAAAATGAGGGCTATTACGGTCTCCCTTATGGTTCTATTTCTATCGCAAAGAGTCCTCCTAGGTATCTGTACAGTCTGCCCTCTGCTGCCCTAGGCTTGTGCTGCCAAAGTCACTTTCTCCAGCTTAGCAGCTCTGAAATAAAAGGCCAGTTCTGAGCTCCAAAAGAGACTCGATGTATGTAGCCTAAATTCAAATTAAGAAAATCGAATATATCAAAGGTTGATTTTGAAAGAAGGCTTTCCATCATTAAAAATCAAAACAACATAACATATCTTAAAATCCCAGTTGAGCACAGTGCTAATTATGAAGAAAAAAATGGTAAAATATGGCAGCAACTTTCAATATCCTGCATTTAACTCTCTGCAAGGAGTATGAATTAATTGAAATTTCTAAAGATGAGTGTTTCTACTAGAAACATCTGTACAGTAATATGCTTAGTAATGAGCTCAGTCTTCATCATTTCATAGGTTCCTCCTTAGGAAAAACAAAAAACAAATGATAGCCAGAAAAAAAAAAAAGTTGTACTTGTTCTTTTCATAGATATTTTAAAAAATTAACCAGGGATTCAAATAAACTTCCTTGCCTCTTTGCTATTGTAAAATTTCTTCTTTTAAACTTGGTGCCAAAACTCTTATATTTTAAATAAACATAGGAAGTAAATTCTAGGAAAGGAAAAGCATGTACTGAAACTCTAAAATATGGTTTAGAGTTCATAAATCACATAATGAAAATTTATTTCATTAATTTAAACAAGCTGCCAGACTTTATGAAAGACATCTTCATATTCTAAATTGGCATTTAAAAATGTGATAGGTCTATAGTCTTATTTTAACCTGAAATGATCAAAATCTGGCTACTTAATACTTCATTAACTGTAATCCATTAAAGAAGATGACTAAATTCAGAATCCACAAGTTGAAT